ATATATGCATAGATACTAATATATTCATTCAGTAATTGTGATTCATTTTGAAATAGTGAACTCATGTTTAGGGGAAAGTAGGGTTCTTGGCTTGTTCATAAATCCCGTTTATCACATTTGCTGACAGAGCACTTATTGCTTTTTTGTAAAATATTCTACGCCACTAACATAACGGAGTTGAGAGTCAGCTATATTATGTAGAACATTATTTTTATTTAAACACAAATATTGGTACAAGAGGGCATCAAATATATATGTGCCAGAAAAAATTTTATTTGTGTGTGGGCTGTGATACTGCGCGAGTGCCCTGACCGAAGCAGGTGGTTTTCTTAGGGGGCCACACCCCGAGCCTTCGACCTGAAGATCTGATCCACAAGGCAGTGGAGCATCGTAAGGAGATGCAGTCCCATGGTAGCCGGTGACCAAGAAATTGGTTCATACGCCATTTGTTCCCTCAGGATACTGGAGCCCATGTGCACCATTGGTTTGGGATCCGGTTAAGGCGCCGGACATTCGCTTTTCGTCCTCTCATTTTCGTAAACAACACCACCGCCACGAGAAGGCAGTGAGTAGGACTTCCCTGGCAGAGGCTGTATACGCGTGGCCGTGTGAAAGCATTTCGAGAGGGAGGGCGGGCGCGCCCACCCCACTCTCGGCCGTACCGGGGCATTTGGGGGCGTAATGCATTATAAGGATGAATATCATATCAAGAAGACGACCAAGCTAGTCAGGAAAATAAGAGGACGAAAAGCGAATGTCCGGCGCCTTAACCGGATCCCAAACCAATGGTGCACATGGGCTCCAGTATCCTGAGGGAACCAATGGCGTATGAACCAATTTCTTGGTCACCGGCTACCATGGGACTGCATCTCCTTACGATGCTCCACTGCCTTGTGGATCAGATCTTCAGGTCGAAGGCTCGGGGTGTGGCCCTCTAAGATGTGTGGCGCATATATATTTGGTGCCTTCTTGTACCGATATCTGTGTGTTAAAATAAAATAAACGCATTACACTACAATGTCTTGATTTGGTGGAATGCCATGCACCACGACGCCAACGGGCATTTGTCTTATCTCTGGGTGACTTGCTGCTAGTGTAATGCGAAAACTGTCTAATGCTTTGGAACAGGACTCGGCTCGTCACAAAGGAGACAAACTTCGAGACCACAATGCCCCTTTGACTGAACCAGTGTAGTATCATGTCTGATATTTTTTGACTGCTGATCTTGGGCAGTGACATCATTAGAAGTTAACTTTGGGTTCTGGTCGATCTACTTCGAATAGTCAGAGATAGGGGTTAAGGAAATTGTATTAGTTTCAAGAAGAATATTGGAGAGATTCTCAGTCAACTTGTGCTGTTTATACACTAATCCCTTAAATTTATCTTCACAGCTTCCTACAATCATTTATAGATACTGTTGTGAAACTAGTTGACGGTTGGGCTTTCAAGGACTGAAATTCAACTAGTCCAACTAATTAATGCCTGTTGAAAGCCTATTTTTACAATAGGTAGTAGGACTGCAAACGAACAATGGGGTGCGTTAACTGACATGGAACGCGTTCAGGGGCTTTGAAGTATTTCAGTAAAGTAAAAAATACCACTACGAATAATTTCTTTCGTTGTGTAATATACTATTATATTTGTAATGAACCTAAATGTTCGCTGTTAATTGTCTGGACCGTTTGACCAGTATTTGTCTGATTTTAAATCCTATATATTATTCCTAAACTATAATAAAAAGTTAGTGAAAAGCACTCAGGAACCATAGCTACAGCAGGGAATAACCTTGAGAGACCATTGATAACGCAAACTTATTGCATTGACAAACCACCATTTTACAACCATTCCGCCGAAAAGTATAAATGAGCATTGGTTGCAACTGCATGACGCTATGAACATGGCCACTGATGACGTTCTGGAAAGAGCTCTGATGGATGTAGGTAGTAGTGGTGGATCTGTTGCCCGGGTAAGTACTTTCCGACCTTGAGTATGCGGATAATATCTTACTATGCAATGATACCAAAGCCATGCAATCCACACTTAATCAGTTTGCAATTAGTGTCCGTAGGTATGGTATATGGTTTGCATCATCGAAGTGAAAAGTACTTTTACAAGACTAGTAGAGTCCTGATCCTGCAATCGCACTGGGTAGTGAGAGGATAGTAGTCGAGATGTCTGGGTAGCTGCATACGTGATGGTGGTGGCGTGAGTAATGAGATCAATCCATGTATAGTGAAGGCCAGAGCGACTCATTCCAATCGGGGCCATTTGTGACGCCTTCGTGATGCTAGTCTGGCTGTAAAAAAGTCGGATCTACAACGCGTCGGTGAGAGCAGTTTTGCTCTGTGCTCGTGACACCTGGTCTCTCTGAGTTGAGGATGTTAAACGACTCCGTGTTTAATCACCGTTGTCTCCGAAGGATTGCTGACATCCAGTGGCAACACTGTTAGTAATGCTGAAGTTCGGCATCGTGTGCTCGGGCAGTTCAGTTGGTATTACTATCTTGAAGCATCAACTTCGGTGGCTTGGACATGTATCAAGAATGTCGTCTCAGAGCTTTCCACATCGTGCATTACTTACCGGCGCTCAGACTGATTGGAAAAAACGGAGGTTGTCAGTGTATGACATGATGTCTTGGTGTGAAGGAAATCTGTACAGGCCTGGCCCATGTTGGTCCTCCACTACTTCCCGGTTGGGGTCTAAAAGATGCTGCAACACAGTGGCTAGAGACGTTATCAGACATGGCTAAGAATAAAAGCCAGTGGCAATCCTGCTGTAACTTTTTTCATAGAAAATGAATGTACGTCCTTTAATTGAAAGTATTATTTCCGGTTATATTTTGCTAACTGAACTGTTTCTTACATTATATATCCCACTCTCATACACTAATTTCTTTTCGTTGTTGTTGCCCTTTTATTGTACGCACTTTAACAATGAGGTTGTGAGATAATGTATTATGTGGCGCATATGTATTTGGTGCCCCCTTGTACTAATGTTTATGTGTTCAATTAAATGATAAAATTTTAAAAACCTGATAACTGTAAACTAGAAAGTTGAGCTGGGTTGATTTCAACTATAGAAGAGGTAAGTAAAGTTATTCTTCCAGTGACTATTTTGCTATCATTGTCACAAAGAGAGTCAACCTTGAGTAAAACTCCCACATATCCATTTTGTATCTATCTCTAACAGTACTCAAGACCACTGTATTCACAATAAACTTCCCTTATTCGACTCCTATTATTCTTCCTACCTCGATTACCAACCCTAAACTTCCTCCTCAGGTGTCACCATGGCTAGCGGTCCTAGTACGCAAAATACTGTCCCAGGTCTACAAAATCTCGCTCTAAACTACACATTGGAGATTTCAACGTACGTACCCTGTCAAATCGGTCAGTAGGCCTCCTCGGATAAGAACCTAGAATCTCGTACCATTGACGTATGCTATCTCTAAAACACACATACAGGATCCTAGTGTGATGCTTCACTTGACCTCACGTAGCCAAAACGGGGACCCGACGAAATACACTTGTTTATCTGATGACTCGACGGCATTTATTTATTTATTTTAACACATAGGTATTGGTACAAGGAGGCACCAAATACATATGCGCCACACGAATCTCAATTGATTTGTGTGAGGGCTGTGATACTGCCCGGGTGCCCAAACCGAAGCAGGTGGTTTTCTTAGGGGGCCACACCCCGAGCCTTCGACCTGAAGATCTGATCCACAAGGCAGTGGAGCATCGTAAGGAGATGCAGTCCCATGGTAGCCGGTGACCAAGAAATTGGTTCATACGTCATTTGTCCCCTCAGGATACTGGAGCCCATGTGCACCATTGGTTTGGGATCCGGTTAAGGCGCCGGACATTCGCTTTTCGTCCTCTCATTTTCGTAAACAACACCACCGCCACGAGAAGGCAGTGAGTAGGACTTCCCTGGCAGAGGCTGTATACGCGTGGCCGTGTGAAAGCATTTCGAGAGGGAGGGCGGGCGCGCCCACCCCACTCTCGGCCGTACCAGGGTATTTGGGGGCTGGAGGGTGTGGGCACAGCACTAAGTGTGAGGGCAGGACAAGCACTTTTGGGATGGATCCCTGTTAGCAGTCGCCTATGTGTTGTTCGGCTTCCACCGACTGCAACCTGGATGATGTGAAAAATGAATTTTACAGAGGGCCTTCTGAACTTCTTTAAAAAGCTAAACACTTAGACATGGTACTCGTAGCAGGTGGCTTTAATGCCCTGGTAGATACCTTAAACAAAAGAGTAAGACATTTAGGTAGGTATTTTGGTAATGGTGACTGTCTGATGCTGCCGTGCTCAGACAATCGTTTATTTTTAGCAAGCACTAATTTTAATTATAGGGAGAGACATCATCTAAGATGGTGACCCCTTGCAATAAACTAACGATAGACTCAAATAGACCATATTGCCATCAGTCATCGTTGGAGAGGCTCGATAGAGGACTGCCGCTCGTTCTGGAATACCTGTTTGGACTCTGATCATGCTCTGATACGAGCAAGCATTTGCTTGCGCCTCGCTGGACGCAGAAAAGCCACATGAAGTAGACCCATTATAGTTGTACTCAGTGACGAGAAAGTCAAAAGTAGATTCCGGGAACAACTGAGGTCATACTTAGACAGTTTTGAAAACGAAGCTAACCTAGATATTGCTTGGAAAGATATACAAACAGCTGTAGAAACAGCAGCGGCATCTATTACTGATTTGAACCAAAGGGTTACGAAAAACCGGTGGGTTTCTGCGACATCTACTGCGTTGATAGACCCTACCGACTCTAATCGAAGTTCAAAAAGCAATAGCTAATCTGAAGCGATGAAAATGGCTAGTAAGAAGTCATTAGACTTCAGAGGTTCATTAATGTCTCCAAAACCCATAGAGGAAATCTCGAGGGATCTAAGTTTCACTCAAGTCATTCAGACTTTTTCCGAACTTATAAATTATGAAAGACATTATTCGGTTGATCCAAAAAATGATGTAACAGGCTAAAACTGCGAAATATGTCGTTTATTATATTATGATCATCTACACTACTATATAAAGATTACAGAAGTCCAAGAGTTCAAGGAAATTTACAGATTTGAGCGAGTATGTTGGTACTTTTGTCGGATGGCCGTAAGACCTTTATATTGCTTACGTCCAAAATAGCGAACTTCGCTTGAATCTGCAGTAAAAACTCAAGAATTTTTGAAGGATTAATTTCAATTATATATTCCAAGAAAATATATGACTTGTAGTCAGAATGATTTATGTATAGTATTATATGCTCAAAATTTGTCACACATCATCATAATCATCTCGCAATCCATTATAATCTTCAATTCGTTTACGAATTTTCGATCGAGATCCCCAAGTTATATAATCTTCCATAGATCTGACGGAAAATTTAGGAATAAAATAATGACTACAGCAATAATGTGGTTTGACACATGAAATAATAAGTTTTTTTTTCATGACCAAATGTATGGTACAACATGGCACCTAGAAACGATTCATACGGAATCAGATGACAGCACTAATTGAATAATAAGAGGGAAAAATTACGAAAATCTATGGTCCAGGTAGAGACCAAAATCTACACAAATTTCATTTATCCAGATGTATTATGTTGTTTAAGGTATACAGTGGAAGACTGTAACAGTATCGTAATCAATTCTTATTAAAACTACAATTCAAATAGTTAATCATAGGCATAACAGTTGGCTGAAAGGAAGCTAAGGGTAGCCAGACCAACCCATGTTATAGGTCCATAAGGCCACTGAATTTTAGATCGAGCCTTTTTTGAAAATGTAGATCACCTGTTTGGGGTTCAAGTGACCATTGTGACTTGGCTCAGAACTGACAGCAACGCCGTCGACGAGTTTATGCTACGTCTTTCCTCTAGACTGAGTCCTCAAACTATTTTAAACTTTTCGTTCTGCAAAGTCATTCGTTTTTCGCGAATTATATTCTCTATATCTAATTTTTTTAACTGTCACTACTGCTACATTTACTACTTTAGTACTTATCTTATTATGCATATGTGTGGCAACTTGAACAGATATGTGCCAGTTATTGCGTTGCTTACGATTGACTAAATCTTCAATCATATAGTTTATGTTAGATATAGTGAAAAAATATGTTCATATGTATTCGCTTAACCGAAGTTCATAACCAGGAAAATTCTTGTATATCTTGTCATAAGCTGCAGCTTGTTTGCAGATAACCTCTGTGAATCTTTTGAAATAATACAAGACAGGTAAAAATGATCTCTGAGACAGTTTTCTGCATCTCAAAAACAACAGTATACTCTTGAACTTAACGAAAGATAAAAGGTTTAGATCATTGACAAACCTTGTAACCAGATATGCTGGGTCTCGTATGATATCTGGGCCCACACGAACATGTCCTTGCTCAACAAACGTCACAGCTGCTTTCATTGTTTCTGCCATTTTTGAACGCATTACAATAACTGAAAGCCGTCTTCGACAAAATGAAGAGGCATTGACTTTCGACGCTAACATAAGACTTCTTCTTGTTGGTATCAAACCTAAGTTGTGTCTTTGTAATCATTACACTTAAAAATGATGACATACAACTTTGCTGTCAGCAGTTCAGTCATTTCTGCCCTCCAAGGATCATTTTCATCGATATTCTTAAGTTTTTCCGCAATTTCTCTGATTTTTCGAGAGAGTTTATTGTAACTATGACACAAGAAAAGAAGGTGCTTTTAAAAATAGAATCTACCTGACACATTTACTAATATATGATTATCATCACTTCATATTCTAAAATAATCCGAAATTGTACACCACAAAACTAAAGATGTCAATAATATTCTTTGAAAATGGTTAAACAAAGTTTGGTCATTTGAAAATATCAGTGAATTTTCGGAAGTGTCGTGTTCTCTGAGCTGAATGGTTTAATCAAGAAACTGATTGTTTCTCTAGGAAATATCATCAGCACATAGATGTGGACAAAGACCATCCACATCCTAGGTCAACAGTGCAAAATGCTAGTCAGTTGCCCAGAAATTCTGGTAGATCACTTCGTCTTAAAGTGGGTTTTTATTGGTTTGTTGAGGAAAACAATGAAAGCTTCATGAATAAGTCAGCCAGCTCAGAGAAATCATAATTTTCAAACCTGTCACCTTGAGATGCAAGTTTTCTCCATCATCTCATTACCAATCAATAGAGAGAATTGTATTAAGATCGCAGATGATGTTACATGAATTAGCTGTACCATTAAGATAACACAATTGACAAACTGGATTTGAAGAACATATTTTAGTCAGAATTATGTGATCGTCACAGTTTTAAGCGGTGGTTATATCCAGAAAACTAGAGCAACAATTTTTATAGATACACAGAATGTCCGGATAGTACAGGAGACCAGTAGGAATAGTCGAATAGCTGCGAAAATGAGGAGATACAACTTGGTGATTTTCAGACTATTTATTTTATTTATTTAAACACATAAACATTGGTACAAAAAGGCACCAAATAGATATGCGCCACATAACTCATTCGAAGCAGGTGGTTTTCTTAGGGGGCCACACTCGGAGCTTACGACCTAAAGGTCTGATCCACAAGGCCGTGGAGCAACGTCGGGAGATGAAGTCCCATGGTAGCAGGTGACTAACAATAGATTCACACGCCATTTGTTCTTTGAGGATACTAGAACCCATCGGTTTGGAATCAGGGTTTTCCAACTCCCCTAAGTAGACTCTCCGTGTCCACCAACCCAGTTAAATCACCGGACATTCGCTTTTCGTCCCCTTAATTTCGTAGACTCAAGCTAGACAGTGAAGATTAAATTCAGGAGAGATGTTGTTCTACTCTGTCAATGACTAAGAAAATGCTCCGCACATACAGGGAGTCGCTTTGATGCTGTTTAGGGAAGTACGAAAAGCACTTATAAGACGGGAATCTTATGGATCCAAAATCCTCAAAGTATCTTTTAAAACAAAGAAGGAGGAGATAACAATGAATATTACCCACTGCTTTGCGCCCAACAATGATAGCAACGAGGACGATGAAGACCAGCTTTGTGAGAGACTGCAGTCAATCATGGTGAAGTACTCAGGAAAGGACCTGACCATTCTGATGGGAGACCGAAACGCCGAAATAGGAATGAACGACACCGGGTATGAAGATATATATATATATATATATATATATATATATATATATATATATATATATATATATATATATATAACATGGACTGACTGGGGGAAAGGAACGAAAATGGTGACAGATTTGCTAATTTATGTTTACTCAACAAAATAGTTATACGCGGCGCAATATTCGCACACGAAAGCATACACAAAACTACGTGGGTCTCACCGGATCACACTATAGAGAACCAGATCGACCATATCTTTATCACTAAAAAAGTTCAGAAGGTCAATGGAAGACGTGAGAAACAAGAGAGGAGCTGACGTAGCTTCAGATCACCACCTAGTGGTTGCCAAGATGAAACTAAAGCTAAAGAAGCACTGGACAACTGGGGAAACAACATTACAAAGGTTCGATACATTCTTCCTTCGAGATATAGACAAACCCAACGAATTCACGATAGCTTTCAACAACAGGTCCCAAGCCTTACAAGATCTACTCAAAGAAGAATCTGTTATGGAGGACAACTGGAAAGCGATCAAAGAAGCATCAACTTTAACGTGTTAGGAAGTTCTGGATTACAACAAGCATCATCATAAGGAATGGATCTCAATCGAAACTCTGGAAAAAATTCGTGATAGGATGACCAGGAAGACAATAGTTAGCAACAGTTGAACAGGAACAGTGAATGTCAAGCTACACGCCGAAAACACAGAAGTAAACAAGAGAGTAGAGAGGAGTATTAGAGCTGATAAGTAGAAATATGTGGAAAACTTAGCAGCAACAGCGGAAAAAGCTGCAAGAGAAAGATATATCAGACAACTATATTACACGACGAAGAAACTAGCAGTAAAAAGTAGTAAACCATAGCGACCAGTCAAAAACAAAAAGGTAAGCCAATCAGTGAGACTCAAGGACAGTGGAACAGGTGAGTAGAACATTTTAAAGAATTGTTGAATCGATTAGCCCCACTGAACCCATCGGACAGCATGGCCATCAAATAAATCAAGAGTGGGAAAGTAGCAAGACCAGACAATACACCAGCTGAAGCACTGAAGTCAGACATACAAGTGACTGCAAACATGATCCACGTTCTATTCAGGAAGATTTTGAAGGAAGAACAGATGCTGAAAGATTGGAAAGAAGGATATCTCCCAGTATACCAAAGAAAATAGATCTCAGCGTGTGAGAACTACAGAGGCATCACATTACTAATAGTACCACAAAAGGTTTGCAAGTGTTGTTGAATCGAATGAAGAATACAGTTGACATCATAGTGTGCACATACGTTTGACCTTTAGTCATCAATTACAAGACCAGTAACTATAAAAAATCAACTGAATTCTGACCATATGGTTGAAGAGTGTTCATACAAGGGAGTTATGTCTAATAGCGAAAAGCAACATCCATTGGATGCTGTAAAACCAATTCCTCTTCTGGCAATAAAGGAAACAATAAACATACGCACATGGGATGTGCATAGAATGTGGGAGACCGGGAGGGTCATTCAAATAACCGCAGAAATGGAAAGATACAACATGAGATATGATTGAAATAAGTGAGACCCATTGGACAAGATCTAGACAGGAAAAACTAGCTTCGGCAGAGATGTTATTGATCATGAAGAAAACGCCTTACACGCCGTTCTCCAAAGAACTTATCAGATTAAAAACTTGTAGCTTCAAGATCACTGAAGCACCCTTTGAAGGAAGAGGTTACAATGGATATCGTATATGGCTACGCACCCACCAATCACGAAAGTGAAGTTGATAAATGCCAGTTTTATGACAGGCCAATCTATCCTAGGGAAAACCCAGGAAAAGCTTTGATAGTTCTGACGGGAAAACTAAACGCCAAAGTCGGGATAGGAAACACCGGGTATGGACTCATCATGGGACGATATGAACTGTGAGAAAGAAACGAGAATGGTGATTGGTAAATTGATTTGGTCTTAAGAGCATAGTTATAGATGGTAACATACTCCAACATATACATACACAGAGCTGCTTGATTTTCGCTAGACCATATCGACCATATGTGTATAAGTAAAAACTTCAGGTTCATCGAAGATGTAAGAACAAAGAGAGTTGATGTAGTTTCAGATCATTATCTGGTGGTATCCAGGCTAAAACCAAAGTTAAAGATGCAATAAACAGTTGGAGAATCAGCGTTAAAAACGTTTGATATGGTCTTTCTTCGAGTTACTAACAAGTTCAACGAGTTCTAGATAGGTCCCATCAACCAGTTCGAAGCCTTATAAGATCTACTGCAAGAGGAAAGTACTGAAAAACACCAGGAAGGGATTAAAGAAGCAATAACTTTAACGTACCAAACGCTGAGTCCCAAGAAGCACCAGAATAAAGGATGGGTCTATGTAGACAGCCTGGAAAAATTCAAGAAAATGAAAACACGAAGATAGACATCAAAGCTAACGAAACAAGGCATAGGCTGAATATACAGAAGCAAACAGGAGTGAAGAAGAGTACTAAAGCTTACAGTCGGAAGTATGTTGAAGAACTGGTAAATACAGAAAAAAAGCTGCAAGAGAAGGAAATATGAAAGGACTGTATGATACAACCAATAAGCTAGCAGGAATATATGGTAGACCAGAGCAAGGAGTCAAGAGAAAAAGAGGGAAAACAACAACTGAAGTTCATGAGCAATTAGACAGGTCGCCACAAAACTTTGAAGAACTCTTGAATAGACTGGCACCGCTAGAACGACCGAAAATTGAGGCAGCACACATAGATAGTACTACACTAACAATATAAAAATTTAGCAAGGCCACTAGACAAATCAAGAATCGGAAAATAGTGGGACCAGACAGCACACTAGTTGAGATAATGAAGTTAGATATAGAGGTATCAGTAAAGATGTTCCACGTTTTCTTCAAAAAGATTTGGAAGGAGCGATTACTAGTGGACTAGAGGGAGGGGTACCTCGTAAAGATATCGTAGTGTGAGAACTACGGAGCTATCACGCTACTATCAGTGCCAGGCAAAGTTTTCAACAGCGTTGCTGGACCGAATGAAAGATCCAGTAGACGCGCAACCTCGAGACCAACGGGCTGGATCAACCATGTACCGAAAGAATCGCGACATGGAGGATCGTTGTTTAAAACTAAACTGGACGGAATTCACTGCTTTACATAAACTTTCTTTATTATGAAGAAAATCCGACAACATAGATAGGAAGATCTTGTATGATTTTCTTTAGCACTATGGAGTACGTGAGAAGATTCTCACCATCATACGGAACTTTTACCAAGGACTACAATGCAAAGTCACTCATGAAGGACAACTCACAGATCCAAGTAAAAAATAGTGTCAAATAAAACTGCCTTCCTTCATCTTTTCTGTTTCTACTAGCTGTTGACTAGATTATGAAAACCACATCTCAGGAAAAGCACGGAACACAGTAGACACCTTAGAGAACCGGTGCTTTCAACGTGGTATGGTCGCCGACAGATTGCAGCCCGGATGCAATCAAGGACGAGTTCTACCATCAGCTAACTGTTCTTCTCCAGAAAGTGCGTTCGACAGATATTGTAGTACTAGCTGGAGACTTGAATGCTCAGGTCGGGC